GGGGCCGGGTGGCTTCTTTCTGGGGCAGACCAGGGCGGGGCATTCGGGAAACAGCTTTGTTTCTGAGTTCGGCATCGGCCCTGAGGGCTGAGGTCTCGGCGTGGTGTCTCCGACAATCCTCGGTGGTGGCCGTGGCCGCACTCGCAGACTCCATACACCGCTTAGAACATGCATCAAACTATCCTAGGTCACTACGGGGTGCAAAGGAACCGCCACTCACAGGGTCATGGAGCCACTGCAGTCACAGTGGGGGACAGGACAAGACGATGCTACAACCTGCGGTTCACAAGGGAGGGGAACGGAAGCCACGCTCGGAGGCCATTTGGCGTGAGCACACAGCTGTAGGCAAGGGTTTCCAAGCAAACACACCACACTAGTACCACTTCTCCCTAAACCGAAAAGGAAAGGACATCATTCAGTTCCCCCAGCAGCACCAACTAAAGCTGTGGGTTTCAGACACAGGGACAGGCAGAGGATGGACGGTGCTCCCGGTGCCTTCCTCTCCCATCTGCTCCTCGGGAGTCAACCCAGGCTGGTGATGTTGGAGCGGCCACCAGGGGGCGCCACGATGCGGTGGCCGGTGCGCCGGGGGTTGTTGTCGTCTATCTGGGCACCTGGGGAGACAGACGGGTGTCACCGCTGGGAGAGGCGGCTCGGTGGGGGGCGGGGGCCTCCGCTTCCACTGTAAAAAACCAGGAACACCCAAGGAGATGGGAGCCCGCGGCCCACCTGACAGGCTGAAGTTGGACTGGTGCAGGTTCCTGATGGGCGGCGGCTGGTGCTTGGAAGGCGAGGACTTGGCGGAAGGAGCGGGGGTTGCATATTTAGGTGTGGCCGGCACCTCGTACACGGGCCCGTCGTACATGCCCCGGGAGACCCCGTGCAGTCCCGAGACCTGCGGGGGGGGGCGGTGGTGACACGGTGCGTGTGAGCTCTCCTTACACACGCGGGCCTGCAGGGGAGAAGGCACCCCGCACAGGCCACACTGTGCACACATTCACGAACGCACACCAACACACTCCCAAATACACACACAAGGAAGAGGCCCCAGACCCACCCACGGGAGCAATCGCTCTCCCTGGCCCTCCTGCCAGCAGCACCTAAGGCCTGTCCTCTCTGCCCCCCAGAGCCGGGGAGCCAAGGTCCCGGGACCGTTTGACAGGGAGATGGGAGCGGGAAGAGCGACAGGCGGAGCCTGAGTGGGCCGTTACCCTGCGGGCAGAGCGGCTGGCGCCACGGGGCTGGCTGCACAGGAGGCCGCATGTGTAGCCGGCTGCCTTGGACACAGCCATTGGGTGGCGTCTGTGCCAGGCCCCAGAGAAGTGTCCGGGGCCGGTCCCAGCAGGTGGCAATGTCTTGATCCGGCCCGGACTCCTCTACAGCAGGCTGGTTTGGGCCCAAGTTCACAGGCCCAGCTCTGGCGCAGGCTCAGCCCCAGAGGCAGGTTCTGCGTTGTCACTTGTCCCTGGCCTGGCCTGTGTGAGGGGACCCAGGGGCTTTCTGCCTGAGGGCAAGCTCTGTTCTTCCTGAAGCCAACTGTCTGCCAGCACCTCCGGCCCTGCCCAACCTGGAGGGGTGAGCACCAACCAGGGGTGCCCCGGCCGGACAGCTCCTGAGTCCCCACTCTCTCGGCCCTCCCACCCTGGGCCTGGCGGGTTCTTCTCCACATCCAGCTCCGTGCAACGTGGCGTCTCTGAGCTGTGCCACCCCTAGTAGGTAACGGAGAGGGGCAGCAGTCAGCCAGGAGCACCCCTGGGTGCTGGGGTCAGGAGCGGCACAGGTGCACACAGCAGAGCCTCGCACACTAACGCACGTGCACAACACACGTGCACACACAGCTGGGCCTTCTAGCACATGACACGGGCTGGCCCTCTGGGAAGCTGGTCCCCATCTCAGAGCTGCAGCAGAGGGGACACGAGGATAGGGCTGAGGTGCAGAAAGGGGGCACACATGGCTGAGACGCCTGTCCCCTCTGCCCAGGACAGATCCTGAGGCCCATGCAGGCCCCGGCTCCCACCCGGCACCCACACACCTTGTTTCGGATCTTGACACGCTGGTAGAGGTGCTCGGGGAACGGCTTCCTCGGGATGAAGCGGCCCATGCCCTTGTTGACGTTGATGTTGCCATCTTCAAAGACGATCTTGCCCTGGCTGATGACCACCAGCGGGGAGCCGTGGCACTCCAGGCCCTCGAAGATGTTGTACTCCACCGCCTGCCATCCAGGAAGCACAGGACAGCTTCACTCAGCCTGACTCCCGGGGTCTTACTCTGCATGAACTGTCACTCCCACGGTGACTTTGCTTGACACTGTGGGAGCAGGGTTTCCCGGGTGATCACCCCTCTCGGAAAGCTTCTTCTTCAGGGCTGTGCATAACCAACGCCCCCTGCTGGGCGTTTAGGTCACAGGCGGCTTTACAGGATGACATTAACATGGCTCTGGGGCATCGTGAATGTGAATGGCGCCCCCTGCCCCAGTCTACAATGGACATGCCCGTGCCTTTTGGAAAATGAATTTTTAAAGTTAGCTTTCCAAAACGAAGTTACCAAGTCAAAGGGCGCAGACCTGCTTAAAGCACCTGTTACACACTGCACCACCCAAGTCCTGTTCAAAGGGCTCAAATCCCCATCCAAATCACTCCATCTGGCAGTGAGGGAGAGACACCTCCAGCACGGGGCGAATCTGAGAGAATGAAGAACACTGCCTTGAACGTGCACGTTTCCTGCCATCAGCCCTGACAGGCACACTCGGCTCTGTCTGGGAAACACCAACCAACTGCTTGTTATTTAGTATTTTAAAAATAGGTCATGTATGTGGATGGAAAAAAGATCAGATGGTACAAGATATTCTATTAAAACTGTCTCTCTCCTACCACTGAGGCACATGCCTTTAAGAGCCTCTTCCGTACACCAAGACACTTCCTGTGCATGAATAACTTCCTGTGCCCTGGTCAGTCCCGGCCCACACAGGCACCTACGTGTCCCTCGCCCCAGGGGTGGCACAGCTCTACTGCACATGCCACACGGATGCACGAGCCTCATTTCACCTGGTTCCACACTTGAGTCATTTCTATGCTTGTGCTGAAAACAGCGCTAAAACACACCGTGTTTACCCTAGCTGTGGGCTTGATCAGGATGTGGAGTCTGGATTTCGGCCTGAGGGCTGCCCACCCCCTCTGCCTGGCTGCTATTAGTATTTCCACATCTTCTCCACTCCTGGGTCTCACTGCTGCCCTGCAGCAACCACCACTGCTACCTGCCTTTGCCAGTGAGATTCGGCTCTTTTCAAAAACTCAGCACACACCTCTGGGCATCTCTGCTCACCTGTGAGGGCTTCCTATGCCTCTCACTGATCTCTGACCATGAGTGCAGTGGGTGGGAATCCTTATCACTTGTGTTGCAAACACTTCTGCCACGTGCCTGCTACCCCTTGGTCGCATCCAAAGCCACTTTTGGGCATACAGAAGGCTTTCTGTGGCCAACTGTCTGAGAGACTGCCTTTCTTTTATGACTTCTGAGTTGTATGCCTTGCTTCCCCTTCAGAGTTGTCATTCTTAAGAGGTGCACTTTATGCTTGTTTCTTTCCTTACTCTTGGATCCGTTTTGATTGTTTTGATGATAAAGGAGGGCACAGGCGAAGCCTTCTGAGCCAGGTGCTCCAACACCACTGGTCGATAGCTCTATTTCCCTAACTTTCACTGCCTCCTTTACTATAGACCAGATCTACACATAGTTGATCTAATTCTTGCCTCTCCGTTCCCTTGTCCCATGCCATGCAGCTTGGTTTACTATGGCTTTGTAACATGTTTTAATAACTTAGCTGATTGATGCACCTTCTTTACTACTTTCCTCTCTGTTCAGAATTCTTTTGATTATTCCCACATATGTCATTGAGAACTGCTTTTCTAGTTAAAAAATAACAATTTGCTGCTTTCAGGTGACCTCAAATTAACAGATTACATTAGAAAGTAGTGATGTACTCACTATAATAATTTTTCTTAGGGTTAAAGTCCTTGCATTTATGTAAGCTTTGAGTTTTTATTGCTGCTAGAAATAGGAGTTCAGTTTCCACTCCATTTTCCAAGGTGGTCTTTAATGACGAAGAAATGCCATTGACTCATCCCACTGATTTATAATCAGCCAAGAGATCCTCTTCATTTTTGATGATTTTTAGGTGCATGCATGGGGTTTTCATGCAAATGACCACATCTATAAACAGCTGGTAACACAGCACCCTACTCTGCGATGGCAGCACCCCCAGGAGCAGGCACGTGGGGGGTCTATATTCAGATCCTTCCTGGGACCCCTGAGGGGCCTGCCTGGCCCACTGGGTAACTCTGTGAGTACTGTGTGGACCACGCCTGTCAGAGGAGGTTCAGGAGCTGGCAAGGGCCCACCTGCCTGCCCCCCAGCTCCTGTGGCCCAGAGCAGGCCTGCGGCTCCTGCCCCTTGAGGGGGACACACTGCATTTCTGGACTGTGGCAGTCGCAGGAGGCTGGGGTTATAGCACTCATAAAAGTCACTCTCTGTATTTTACAACTACACAGAATTTTACAGGTTCATGACTTCCTCTCTCAAAGGTAGTATGTGAACAATTTTACAACACAAGGCCTGTGATAAAACACTCTCGTCTAGCGCATCTGCAAGCCCCGATGCCAGTTCCCTCCCAAGGGCAATCACCCTAGGGATGCTTTCATGTCCTTTAAAGTCGCCCACCAATGGCTGTGGAAACAGAAAGCAGAAGAGAGGTGCAGTGGAGGACGGTTCTGCCAGAAAGGAATGAAGTTCCCTCCGAACCCGGCCACAGCCCAGGGGATCAGCTAAAACGTTCTACTACAGGAAAAGCAGGTCACAAAAGGTCACACTGGGGAAGAGTCCAATTATGGGAAACAGCCAGGATCGGCAAATCCACAGAAAAAAGAAAGTAGGTTAGTGGCTGCTGGGGACGGAGGGGAGAGGAGTGCAGGACGACTGCTAAGGGTGCAGGTTTTCTCGGGGGCCCGTGAGAATGCACTGGGCTTGGTGACTGTGCAGCCTCCGGAACACACCAAGGCCAATGCAGTCTCAGCGGCTGAACTGACAGTATGTGAACGATATCTCAGTTGTTAAAAAGCCGGCCTATGATACAACGTGTTTGTATGCCCACAAGGTAGCACTCCGAAGCAACTAGGTGTTCTGCTATGATACGAAATGCGACTTTGTTACAGAAAAGAAGTGTTCAAACATTAATCACTGTTCAATTGCTATAAAGGAATTTCTAACTTAAATACAATGGCTGATCAAAAAATACAGTGTGTATTTAAATGAAAAGCATTACCAGCATAAAAGACACATTGTCATGAATCCCCCTGAAAACCCCCGCCCTCACTACAAACACGCCGCTCCATCTTTCAGGCCGTTGTCTGGGCAGTTCCGGAGCCCTCTTCCCTGAGTGTCTTTACCGGATGTATTGGAAAGTACAGCGGGTGCTGCTGTCCAGCGCCATCCAACAGAAAGGCAGGCTGGTAAAAACAATGCTGTGTCTGACCAGATCATGCACTGTGTGACTTCTGCCTCCTTCCCAAAGTCAAAGTGAGCAGGAAAGGGAAACGTTTTGAATTGTTTCAGGACATTGAGGCGGCCAGGACAGGGCAACTAAAGACCCTCAGGAAAGAGCATTCCGGAGCTGCTGCAGACAGTGGCAGAGACCATGGGATGAGAGTACTTGGAACAAGGAAAAGTATTATCTGGGGGATTCACGGCAATATGTATTTTACTGTAGTGAAAGATTTACAATTTAAACACTCGCTGTATTTTTTAAATTGCACCTCTATAAGACTAACCTCTGGCCAGGCTTTCTCCCTCTATGTTGTAAAACTCACAACCCCGCCTGGGGCAAAGCACTGGACAGACAAAATCCTCTGGCCAGTTGTCCCATAGGGTCCTGAACTGTCTGTCCTCTTCGCTCTGGAAAGAATTCAGACACAGCCCGGCAGAGAGGGAGAAGCCTCTTTCCCGAATTGAAACAGCGACTTCCCAGATGGTGCCCCCAGGTGTGTGACTAGAGCTATGGGTCCAACCGTAAGGTGACCTTGTTTGGAAACAGGGTCTGAGAAGTCATCCTGGAGCAGGGTGGGCCCTGAATCACTGACTATGGTTCTCGTAAGAAGAGGACAAGACACAGGAAGCAGCCTTGTGGGGACAGAGACGGATGCGGGAGTGACAAGTCTACCGGCCCGGGAGCAGGGAGGGCTGTGGTGACGCTGGAAGCCACAGAAAGCACGTCCCACCAGGTCCCACCCAGAAGCTCCCAATTCTGGATCTCTGCCCTCAGAGCTACACAGAGGACACAGCTGCTGTTCAAGCTGCCACCTCTTTACAGCAGCCACAGGAGACACACGCTTACCCTCCTGTGTCCGTGTGCCATGCAGCTAAATTAGAAGAGGAAGGATTCATCGAGATGGGAGGATCCAGCAGGATGACCCGTACACGGAGAACACTAAGGAGTGGGTTCCTACCAAATGGCATCAGATCACAGTAACAGCTGGAACTGCCGAGAGCCTGGCCTGCACCCTGACCACGCACTCGAAGAAGAATGTGGGGCCCGTGGGCCTGTCCCAGCTGCTTCCCTTTGGGTCCTGGCCTGTGGCCTTGGGAAGCTGACCTGGACCTTTGGGTTCCTCTCTAGACCAGAGCCAGAACTCACCTCCAAGAGGCATGGGGTGCAGGAAGCAGGTGTCACCAGGAGTGCTGTGTATATCCAACCGACCCTGGCCACGGACCACATGCAACTACCAAGACCCCTACACCCCCAGGCAGGGTCTGAGGAGCCGGGCGGGGACTCAGGCCCTCCTGTGAGCCACCACAATGGCTCCTCACAAGACCCCCCATGCCTGGTGCCCTGGCCCCATGCGTGCAGAGGCCCGGGGTGCTGACATTCCCACAGCAGAGCCCCCACCGTGTGCCTAGGCCCTGCAACAGACTCTGGGGAGCAGGACTGGGCTGTGGTCTCCTGAGTCTTCTGAGCATGAATGTTAATCTGGGCCTGAGACCTCGGCTGGCCCTGCAGAGAAGGGACTAGGGAGCCCTCAATGGACACAAAAGAGCCTGATACCATCTCTGCACCCTTCGCAGCTCACTGGATTGGCAGAAATCAAGGGCAAAGGAGACACAAAGTAGAGATAACAGAGTCTCAGGCCTGGGTGCCCACAGAGTACGAAACAGTGCACCTGCTGTGGTTTCTACCTAGATGCCCTCCAAAGGGCATGTGTGATCATAGGGGGCCTTTGGAAGGCAATGGATTCCAGGGCTCAGAGCCAACTGCTGTAGGGACGAGGCCTGGTGGGAAGAGGCGTCACCAGGCGTGGCCTGGAAGGCTCCTCTCCCTCCCGGCCCCTCCCTTCTCTCTGCTTCCTGTTCCCCATGCGGTGAGCAGCTCTCCTCCGCCAGCCCCCGTGTCTTGCATCCTGCCAACTATGGACTGAAACAGGGGCCAAAATCAACCTCTCCATCCTCAAGGTATGGAGGTGGGGTACTGTGACTCAGTGATGGGGAAGTGACTCAGACTGCACCCCTGGTGCACCTCAGCGCCCACCCTTTGCTGCTGGCTGGTCAGAGGCTTCACACTGGCAAGCAGGAGGTTTCTGATGACCAGATCGGATGCTTTCAAGTTTGAAGGTGCAGTTGGAGAAAGAGTCTTGGACCTAACTCTTCCCCACTATGAACCAGTGGCTTACTGGGCAGTCACGAGTCGCGGGATGAGAACGTGAGTTCATGCAGAGGACTCAGCCAGGGCTCGAGGACTCGTACCAGATCCTAGCAACAACCACCATGGAAACCAGTATGGAGAGACCCCAGACTCTAAACCTGGGAGTTCCCTGCCACCCACCTATTCCCCGTCTGGGCATCTTACGGAAAGAGTGAAGCCTCACAAGTGATTCTTCTTGGAAGCGGCCTGGGTGTCCATCGACAGACAAATGGATAAGGAAAGTGTGGTGTTTACACACCACCGAGTACTACTCTGCCATAAAGGATAAACCTGAGTCACTTGTAGGAAAATGGATGCACCTTGAGGCCATAATGTTAAGAGACCTAAGACACGCAGTTTACGTATTGCATGGGTTCTCTCATGTGAGACACCCAAAGTATAAATAAAGAGTGAAGTCAGCCGGGATAATAGGACACGAGACAGATCTTTTGCCAATGGGAAAGGACTGGAGACACGGAGGGAGGGGAGACAGGAGAGTGAGGAGACATAAACAGGATTAACCAGGGTCTGCGGTCTGTGTTCGGAACGCCCTGACAATGGTATACGTGAGATACCTGCCCTTCAAGTCCTCGTTCCTTGAATTTTCCTAGGTAACCTAAGAATTTCATGCAAAACTTTCAGTCTGCGGCACAAATGGGTCAAGCTGTGCTATGTGCACGCAGCGGCCCCCCACGGGAAGGTGAACCTCAACACTGCAGGCAGGTGCTAAGAAAAATAAAAATAAAAATGGGAAGACCCCACAGCCCCTCTCTGACCTCTTCAAGGGTCAGGCTAGAGAGCAGACCCCGAACATTCCTCTTTTCCAACCGGAAGCTTCTGCGAGGAAGCGGGACACTCCCGAGGGCACACCCGCGGAGCCCGGCTGCCCAGCACTCACCGACTTGTGGCTCTTGGCGGTTATGGTCTTCACCTTGTCGGGGTCCCAGATGACCACGTCAGCGTCGGAGCCGACGGCGATCCGCCCTTTCCTCGGGTACAGGTTAAAGATCTTGGCTGCGTTGGTGCTGGTCGCGGCCACGAACTGGTTCTCGTCCATCTTGCCCGTGGCCTGAAGGCAAGAGGAGGGGGTGAACGGATGCACCCAGGACGGCGCAGATCTGAGCCCAGCAGCGGGGTTCCTGGGTTGGCCTCTTCTCGGGTGAGGGCTCATCTGCGCCGGGGCCACGGGGACGACTCATCAGAGCCACTGGGCGCGAGTGTCACAGTGAATAAAACCTCCTGGCTGAGGGGATCACGGTGGGGGGGCTTCCGTCACAGCGCCAATTCCCTCCACTCAGACACCCCAGTTCCTACACACACAGACACACGCGCATGCACGCATGACGTCGCGCGGTCTCTGCAGGACTGCGGCGTGGCTCACAGCAAATCTTCCTCATCCTCCAAGCTCAAGGGCAACGGGGGCGGGGGGCAGCATCTTACCACCGCCTTGTCCCACACCACGGTCATCCGCTCCTCTATGCCGTTCACGCCTTCGGGGATCAGCGTGAAGTTGTCCTTGCCCACTGCCTTCTGGGCAGTGCTGTAGGGACAGTGGCCGCTGCCTGTCACCTGCAGGTCCCCACTGGCGACAAAAGATGAGGCGAGGCTCAGCCCTGAGCTCCCGTGGAAGGTCAAACACAATCTCAGGCACCTGGAGCCGGCTGTGCAACCCAAACCCCAGGAGGCCTCGGGGGACCGGAAGGTGGGTGTGGACGAGGGTGTTTCATTTTTGGTTTTTATTTAATTTAATGTTTTCTTCTTTTTCTTTTTCTCCCCCCAGTGCTGAGGCTTGAATCCAAGGCCTTTGCACTGAACTACATGTCTAAACATTTTTAAAATTTATTTTTACTTCCAGATAGGGTCTCACTAAGTTGCTAAATTGCTCAGGATAGGCTCAACTTTGTGACCGCCCTGCCTCAGCTTCCTACAGTGCTGCAGTTGTGTGTGTGTGTGTGTGTGTGTGTGTGTGTGTGTGTGTGTGTGTGGTGACGGAGATGCACCTCAACATGAAAGCTCTGAGTTCAATCCCCAGCTCCTACCCCCTTTTTGGAGAGTGGGTCTTGCTAAACTGTCAAGACTGAACTCAAACTTGCAATCCTCCTACCTCACCTCCCCCCAAAATCTGCTGAGATTAGGGGCCTGGGTCACACACCTGGCTTAGCTCAGTTCTTTAAAAAAGGAAAAAGCTTTCTGACAGTCAATACATCAGTGAACAGACAAACAGACCCACCAGGAGGCAGTGAGACCAAGCCCTGTGTCACACACCTGTGCATCCCAGAAGCCGGGGCGCCCTTTACACCCGGCCCTGGGCCCCTTGTCAGGGGCCTCACCGCTGAGGGCAGCTGGGGTTTTTGTGCTGGGCTCCCTGAATGAAGCGCTGTCCGGGGACCACAGTAAAGTGACACCAGTTTGCAGGTTTGCCTTTTGTCCCTTGGCAGCTTTGGGAGGGGCGGACGAGGGCTGCAGCTCTGTGACAAACACAGTGCCCAGAACGTACGCCCATCACTGGAGCGATGGCGGCAGACCCAGAAGCTATGTGCATTCACACTTCCTGGGTGCTGCTACCATGTGAGGCAGCGGCAGGTGGCTCAGAAGGGAGAGTCAAGAGCCACACTCCTGAGCTGGCAGAGAGGGGGCCAGGGGCTTTGGGTGATGCATAGAAGTGAGTGGCGGTGCCACTTGGCGAGAACAGGTGCTAGGCAGTTTGTAATAGCTAAAACTTGGAAGCAGCCCAATTGCCTATCACTAGAGACTGGATAAAGAAGATGTGGCTTTTTAATAAAATGGAGTACTACTCAGCCATAAAGAATGAGAGACTACAGTCATTTATAGCTAAGTGGATGAACATTGAGGCCATACTCTTAAGTGAAATAAATAGAACACGTGTGTCAACACCGAAGTTTCCCTGGTGTGAGAAACTGAAAGTGTCAATAAGGATCAAAATGTAAAACAGATATTGTGAAACAGGGAGAAAAGGGCTAAACGGAAGGAGGAAGTTGGAGGAGTTGGGGAAAGGAAAGAAGGGAAAGGAAAAAATATGAGAGAAGGAAAAAATGGAAACAAAGTCCAGGTAAACAGGGAGAGGTGGGGGGTGAAGAGAGGGCAGGGGAATGGGGAAAAATAAGAACCAAGATACATCACGCAAAGGTACAAATTCCCAATGATGAATGTCATTAAATTGTACATCTAAAATGAAGAAAACAAATAAATAAAATAAAAAGAACAGGTGCTAAGGATGGGACAGAAAGGCGGGGCAGGGAGCACTGGGTTGGCCCAGAGTAGACCGCGTCAGCAAACGCCCCGCTGATCAAGACCCTCAAAGCAAAGTTCAGCAGGCAGCTAAAGGCAAACCATGCGGCTCAGGGAGAGTGCGGGCAGGGCAGTAGTGAGTGCAAGGGCCCTGGGGTTTAGAGGTAGCAGGGGCCGGTGGGCACAGTGAGGGAGTAAAGGGGGCCAGGTGAGGGCATCAGGATGCATGACACAAGTAGGGGACTTCACCATGACAAAAGTTGCTGGAGGTTTCCCTGCACGGGGTGGCTTGGTTTGCTCCTCATCTGAGCCCGTGCACAGGGATACAGAAAAACACTGATCCCCGCCAGGCCCCCGCAGCAGATGCCACACGAGGAGCCAAGGTTTCTGCGCATCTGGGGATGGGGTTCCAGTGGTGGACATGCCCCCCGCCCCCTCCTGTCCTCACCTGGCCCACCTCCCCCAGGAAGCCTTGCACGCCTCCCACCTCAGCCTGACTGGCTCACAGGAGGCACAGGACGGGAGCGGCTATGCTCCTACTACACACTCATGCCACAGCCACAGCAGGCCGGGAAGCCACAGCGGCCCCTCCTTGAATCCTGCCCTTCGGGACTTCTTTTGTTCGTTTGTTTTGTTTTACAGCACTTGGCACTGAACCCAGGGCCTTTGCACTGAGCTACCTCCCTGTTCCCTTGTTCATTTCTTATGTGGAGACTGGGTTTTAAATTACTAAGTTGCCCAGGCTGAGTGTGAATTTGTGATCCTCCTGCCTCGGCCTCAGCACAGGGCGCAGACCAGGCGGAGCACAGAGCCCCAGGCCCCTTCCCAGTGTGTCTAACCCAGTCTGCAGGCCCAGCTGCCCACACCGCACCTCCCCGCCCCACGCCCCGCTCTCACCAGGCCAGGAGTGAGGCCAAGTAGTCGGGCGTGGTGGGGTCCGGGCTCAGCGGGGGGGATGTCACGAACGCCGCTGCCTTGGCCCAGTTCTTGCTCCAGTAGTGGGTGCCGTCTGTGCCCAAGCTGGCAGCAATGGGCTCTCCAAAAACGAGGGGCCCTGGCGAGCACAGACACAGACGAGGAGGTCACACACACAGCTGAGGCCTGGAGGCCGCGCCAAGGCCAGGCCCCAGCCGAGCC